AATTTCTGTCCTAATTGCCGAGTTTTTCTATTCCACAATTTGAGGATTTACTTTGGCATTGGTGCAAATAGGTACTAAGCTTCTGCTAGGACTTAACTGCTGTTGGCTTTGTCGTTGAGGTAATGCTGATTCTGAAACTAGGAAGGAAAAAGAAGAAAAAGACCCATCAAGTTTCATGTCTATCACATTTTGGCAGTTCAAAGAGTGTATATGTAAGCCTAAATTTAAATGAGCATTTTTATATTATTATTGCCATCTTTAGTGCTTCACTGGTAGAATCATTATTCTAGGCAAGCGCGTAAAAACCATACACCAGATTATAGCTGCCCTGATGAGCAGCCTTTGGTGCCCTTTGTTTTTAGCCCTTTTCCAGCCATTCACAATCCCAGGTCTCCAACCAGAGGCTCACAGTTTTCACCTCAGGCCCTTGGTCCATTTAATGTTAAAGACTTGCCCCATTAAAAGGAGATTTGATGTAGAAACTGGCATTTCTTACTTTGAGAAATAGGATCTATGTTGAAGGCTTTCATTTTTACACGAGCCGGTGCTCCTGTATCATTATGAGCATCACTCTCTTTGTGCCTTTGTCTCCCAGTGCTGAGCTGAGTCAGGAGCTCCTTTTCCTCAGAGAGGCCAGGGTCTGCCAGCTTACTCTACTCCTGCATCACAGGCAGCTGGGTTTGTGCCCCCTGATATGCACACGGTCTGGGAAGATCTGTTCAATTATTTCCAGTTTCACTTACTGGACTTGCTCAATGCATTTAGTCTCCTCGAGACATATTTCAGGACTTGAACCAGAATCATGACTGTATCTTCTATCAAGAGCATTTCCTCTTTACGCTAATCAATGCCACTTTTATCGTTCCTTTGTAAGGAAATAACTTTTAGAAGTCAGTGCCAGAGCAAGGAAAGATTTTCTCCCTTGAATAATTTTTATAATGTGTTGTTTTTCTCATTTTGTCCTGGCTACAGGGGTTTCAGAACTCCATTTAATAATGCAGCATAATTCCGGGAATATTTCTCCCTTAATTTGCACTATTGCTTCTCTATATGTTAGGTTAATACTAACAACCTAAAAACATACATATGCACATTTTACAAACAGCCTTTTAGTCCATTTTGCAGGATACTGGGAGTCATCACAGTATTATAGAAATGTTACTAACTTCTCAAAACTGTCCTGCACATTGACAACAGCTTTATATTTATGAAATTCGAATCAAGTTTTGTGATTATTTCCTTGCTCATTCGGGAATGGTACACGTCTTCCTGTCATCTGCAAGTGGTACCATTTGTTTATTGAATCACAGGACACTGTATCACGGCTCTCAATCCTGTCTTCCCACTCACAGCATCCTCCATTTCTGCCCCACAATGCCAGCAGCTGGGCACAAACTAAGTTCTCCAAACAGCCCATGACCTCCCTCCCTGTCCCTCATCTTCCACAATACCATTACTCCACCTGGAATCACTCTAGCATTTTAAACGGAAGTTTACCGTAGCACTGTCCTTTCTTGTGAAATTAGTGGCTAGTCTTATTATTTTGGTATGGCTGATAATCAGCCTGATATTTAGTAGAATACTATGCTCATTAACTAATGATTTGCTGAAATGTTGATAGAATCAAAATGCTTGACACATTGTATATTTTTTACTGTAAATAATGGCAGATCTATTTTAGAATAATTACTGAGTATTTACCATTTGCCTCATGCTCTTCTAATAGGTTTTCAGCCAATCTTCCCAACAGCCAGTTTTTGTCCTCATTTTAGAGATGAGAAAATTAAATCCCAGAGAAATTAAGCAATTTCCTCCAAGGACACACTGCTAGTAAGGAGAAGAACAAGGATTAAATTCTAGAGATCTCGCTCCACAGACAGTATTCAGCTGTATCATTGTCTTCTATTTACATACTAAAAGCATATTTATCCCTATGACACCAAATAAATAGTAAGTGCTTCAACTTTCATTAATTCTATTCCTTCTCATGGGAATACTGCCATTATCTTGAGCTTCATTCTTTGAGGAACAGATTAAGATCTTGAAAAAAATCTCGAGAAATTTTCCTACACATAACATCTATGAATATTTTTGTGAGTCTCTGTGTGTATGTGTGTATGGTTTAATTGTGTAGCCAGGAATAAAAATAGCTAAAAATGTATCAACCAATCTCTACCTTCGTTATGTAGGCCATGGTTCTCAGCTGCATAAAACAAGAGAAGCACATACCTGTGAAATCACAAAAAGAAGTTTTGGAATTGACTGACTTAAAACCCTAAGATGCAAACATACATCTGAGAAGAATGATGTAGAATCAGAAGTCTTTAAGGCATCCACTGGGAATAAATTACTCCTTCCCAACCATGAGTCTTCATTCTCCTTCATATTAACACCAGTCAATTCACAGTGGAGATTCTGCCTTCTGAATCTGTGGCAGTGGCACAAGAAGTATCTACCGTGTTTTGCACATGAGGCAGAAATGGTCAGATAAACCACTCTGTGGATCTGCATTTTCAGCCCTGGAGGCCATCTCCCTGGACTCCTCTGCATGACCTGCCAGGGGACTCTTATCGTTTCACTCCTCAGTGGTTTTCAAACAGATTTTAACCAGTAGATAGAATGCTTGGATGCCTTGGCCACCTTCAATAAAAAGACAAGCCACATGTCAAAGTCTCAGCTATATGTCCTAGAAGGTTTAGTTTCAAGGAGTATGCTCTTTGAGGACAAGGCAGCTTTATAGCATTCCATTTTGTTTTCCCCACCACTGATGTGTGCATATGCATTATTTCATCAGATTTTTTTTCTTTTCTGAAGCAAGGCTTAGAAACTGCCTCAGCTAAACTCTTGTTTATTAATGAGAACCCTAGACCTAGTAGGAGGAAACTTGGAGAATTAGAGTTGATTGGAAAGCCAAGACAATTACTTCGATGGAATCTTATTGAGCCTGGGGTCTCATCCTCTAAGAAGTGAAGATATATATGAATTCCTTTGGTGGAAGTTTCCTTGAATTAGTTCTGCCTCTCCAGAGGAGCAGAATCAATATAAAATATCTGTATAACTATGTAAAGGGTTGGCTTACAGGATCAGAGGCAGAAGGGTAACAATGACTGTCTTTGGGATTTTGATGGAAGAATCCAAAATTCCCATCTGTGTGCCGGAGAGCCAGAGGGTCCCACAGAAGCTGGGCATAGAAGGCCTAGGTACTCACTGTAGAGTCAGCCTGTGAGTTTTCAGTAGGAGGCTGAAGAGTGCATTCAAAGGCTAAGGAAATGGAGACCAGTGTCCGAATGCAATGACAAAGACTGGAGCTCTTTCAAAAGCGGGGGGGGGGGGCACTTCCTTCTTCTTTCCCTTTTATTTTCTCCAAATTACGAATTTATTGGTTGATGCCACCCATTCCAGCTGGGTCTCCTGCCCTCAGTTTTGTGGCCTACATGTCAGTTACCCATGGATGCACCTGAATTTACTAATCCGCTAGGCGGTTCTTAAGTGAAGTTGACGTTGCAGAATTTATGATCACATTAACTTACCTTTTGTTTATTTGAATCTTATCCTATTGATGGATTTATCTGTCACCTTTGTCCTGAAAAACATCTGCCATTAGCAAAATCCATTCCCCTTGGAAAACTACTCTCAGTGAATTAGTTAGTTGTGGAGTGTACCAAATTAATTGGATCTTGCTAAAAATACCATCTGATGAGTAATACTGGGAAATATTGAAAGAAATTTCCTATGTGCAATTATAGCACATTCATTATTATAGTTAGCATAAATTCACCTTTAGAGATTTTTGTTGTTTATATCCTAACTGGTCTTTCAGAATCCATATACAACATAGTTTTTAAAAGAAAAACAGAAGTTATTTTCTACAGTGGCAAAATATAATGAGGTAAAATGAAAATCTGTGTATTTTTCAGTGCAGTGATTTTGTTAAAAGCACCAATGAAAATCAGGCTGCTGTGCATCTGTGTTTCGTGTCCATATGGAATGGGCAGTGTTAAGCTTACTTAAAATGGTGACAAAAACTGCTTAACTGTCTGCAGTGGTTTGCAATAGGAAGTTCAAAGTTTAAAACTGTATTTAATAGATATCTATCAAAATACATGTAGATTACAACTTTACACATTTTTATGGATATACTAATCATCATATTCCTTATCATTCATTCCAAAATAAGAATTTTTACAAGTATATAAAATCATCTGTATTTGTGATATTAATGATCCTCCAAAATTAGTAAACTCTTTGCTGCATATCAATCAGTGTGGATTACGGATGAGCCTAGTAGTATCTGACACACTTTACTCTTCCCCAAAACGTTGGGTGGTTTTCTTTCAGATCAGCTCTTGATGTTTACCTTCTGGGGTTACAATGGGGCTTTATGGCCTGAAATTAGGCACTTTCAGCTCCTGTCCCTGTGATTGGCTAACATGACATCTGGCCTCAGGTGTCACACAGAAAAATCTTGGTGTCTAAATTGTGTACCCGCTGATTGTCATGATTTTGTTTTGAAGTTTCAGTTGATTATTTTGTAGGGAAAATAGATCAGCCTGCGATGCCATTGATCCAAATAATAACCAGAAACTGTTAAGAGTATCACACTATTATTCCTAAAGAAATATGCAAAGAACATTATAAGGTATCTGACACACATATTTTATTTTTGTTTATTGTGAATAGATGATGGTACTTTAATGCTTCCTGTCTGTTTATAATCTGGTTGAACTCTACTCTGTTTGAGCAAAAATACTTAGCTGGATTATGTCTATTAAAGGACATCCATACTTCTGTGTATTCCCAATAGTTACAGATTCTGCTCAATTCCTGTTGTTTTTAAAGAGTGAAGAGACAATCACTGTCTTCAGAAGAAGTGGATCTACCCAGTTCTGCCAGAGGGCTGATATTTTCTCACCACGTTGGATGAATTTCTGAGATTAAGCAGAAATTACTGTGAAAATCCTGTTCCTTCCTCTAACTTTCTTTTTGTATTCTCTCCACAGGAACTTTTTACCCCTGAATGCAAGTTTAAAGAGTCTGTTTTTGAAAACTATTATGTAATCTACTCATCCATGCTGTACAGACAACAGGAATCTGGTAGAGCCTGGTTTCTGGGATTAAATAAGGAAGGGCAAGTTATGAAAGGGAACAGAGTAAAGAAAACCAAACCAGCAGCTCATTTTCTACCCAAGCCATTGGAAGGTGAGTGTTGGTGTCCATTGTCTTTATCAGACTTATCACCTGCTTTAGTTTTTACACTGATACGTCTGCCTGGCTAAAGGGAACCTCCATAGAGTCTCATTTCCCATGCATCATTCTCTGTGCTCAGAATGTCCTTTATTTTGACCTGGATGATACTTGCACAAATGTGTACTTAAATTGTTCGTTTAAGCTTTCTGGGGCTAGAAGTATAGCTGAATGGTAGAGTACACGATTAGCATGTGTGAAGCCCTGGGTTCACACAATCCCCAGCACCACAAGGGAAGGAAAGAAGAAAGGGAGAAGGAATGCAAGGGGGGAGGAAACATTGTGTCCTTCAAACACTCGTGTGTGTTTGTGTGTGTGTGTGTGTGTGTGTGAGATATATTGAGATACTTGTTCTAATCCTTACTGCCACAACCACTCTAACTTCTAGGTAATTTTAATTCATTAATTGAAAAAATTATATTTAAATAGATAATGATATTACAACTTTAGGATGATCAGTATATTAAAAATAGATTTTGCTTATGCAATGAAAAGTATTTCTCCATTTTTGTAATTTGGGCACAAGTAATTCTGTATTTGTGAATTATTATAATTTACAAAACAAAGTGATAATAACTTGACTCTTAAAGATCTTGTTGACATCATGAATCTCCTTCTAGACTCATAAATTTTTAAAACTTTATCTGCATCTCTTGTAAACAATGGAGCCTTCATATTTACTTTTATCAGATCCCAAGGAACAGGCTAAAAAGTTCCGTTCATTAATTAGAAACATCTGTACTTTTCTCACTAAAGATTCTGCTGAAGGGTCAATTACTTTTTATCTATGTAACATTTTTTGAGAACCACAAAAAAATAATTGATTTTGAGGCCATTCAAAAGAGTTTTCTAAAGAAATGAGAGTAGCAACAAAGGGAGGAAAAACTCACTATGGTCAAAGTCCTTGTGATCACTAAAGCCACCTTTCTGGACTGAAAGAACCAAAATGTTGGCCCTTCCAGAGATGCACACAGGTCGCAGAAACAGTACCTTTCAAGGTCATAGCAAGACCAAAACTCCATATTGGTACATCGGGCTCCAGACCCTTTATATTTTTTGAAGTGGAGACCCCAGAGGGTCTTTCTATATATTTACCTTATTAAAAATTAAAAACAGGAAGAAGCTGTGGTGGCATTTTCATTCCTAGTTTGAAAATCTGTATTGGCATTTAAGGAGTTCATAATATCTACACTCAAAATAATTTCATTCCTTTCGCTGCAGACTCCGACTGGTCTCAAAGTGATGCCGCTATTTTACTGGCTTCCCAATCCATTGACAAAGATTCTCCTGTCTAAACTTCAGTTGGGCTCCTTTTCACCTTCTGGGCCTTGACCCTGGTGTCCTCATGTCTGGCCCACATTACCTAGGCATAGAAAGGATTTTGCTGATCACTGTAGAGAGAATCTCCCACTTCAGATCTTATCATCTTTAACATCTCTTCAGATCCCCAACCTCTGATATCCAATCATCCTGACCCGTCTTCAGCCTGAATCCTCTTAGGTCTGTTTCACTAGAAAGCCCTCTCTCTGATGTTTCCATACACTGATTCCATCCCTGCTCCTGGACTGATATCTCTATTGGTTCACACTGTGTTCAGAATAGAGCCCAGATTCTACACTGAGATCTCTTTTCTCCTACTGCAATAATTCCTGCATAAAGCCTGCTTTAATGCTTTAAAGATGTTTTTTATTCATATACTTTTGTTCACTTTCTTGCAGAAGATCAGATCTGTAATAACTGAATAAATATTTTAAGCTAGCTTAGTTCAATTTCCTTAGCCATCAAGAGAAATACATATTAGTTTCACAATACAGTCTCCAAATAGGAACATCTGAAACTTTAACAGTCAACTTGTTATTATCTGTGAGTGTATAAGAAAGTTTCTCTAAATTTGGAAAACTAGTCCTATTGGTTAATATCATCTTCATAATCTCAATGATTTTAACTTCCTCTCAGTCTTAATTAAATTTCCATGTAGAAAAATTAGTTGAAGCCCAATTAATTAGGCCACTAGAGCCTATCTATGAAAGCCCATATTTCTGTCTGATACATGAGTAAATGGTTTTCATTGTATGGTACAACATAAGGAAAATTGGAGTAAAATAAGTGAGAGGTTTCTCTGTTCTTCCTGAATGACATAACCACGATAGGACTTTATTGTTTCAAGCAGCACTTGATATAATTCCATCAGACTTGCCAATATTCAATGCAGATGAAAAATAAAAAACAGTCCATGATAGCTCTACAGAAACCTTGTTTATTTGCCACCTTATTTTGTCTCTTTTCACTAATTATATGATTTGAATATAGACAGGAGTAGATTAAATTTCTAATAACTTACCTTTTAACTGCACAAATGTAACAGAAACAGCAGGACTTTGTGTCATTTAACTGAGGTAAAATGTGAAAAGCGTTGAATTTTAGGAGCCCGTAGGAAATACATGAGGTTCTAATGATGTAATATAATAATATTATCTGGTGTTTCTGTTATATGTTGAATGGTTGTCTCTGAGTGCTGTGTGTATGTTTATATGTGAGAAACATAAATAGTCCTTTTTGTCAATTTTCAAATAATTAGCAGTCAGAAGCACTCTAAAAAACTATTAAGGGAGTAGGCACTGTAATGACAGAGTTTATAATGTATTTTATATGATAGGGTAATATTAATTTCAAATTTTCAAAACTGATACGGGCTGTAAATTGTATTATTGAAAATGTCAGGACAAATTGGGTATTTGATTTACTGTTGATAGGGCATTCATATTTGTTATGAAACTTTACCAAGGAAATAATCCAAGTCAATGCTTTGATGCTGTTATCTCCTAATTTAATTAGTCATGGGGGTGAGAAAGTGGGATGTGTTTCAAGGATACAGATTAGTTCCTTCTACCTCCTTGCCAAGTCATTTGAATTTTTAATCTACAAACTGCTGAAAATTCACCTGATACACTGATATAAAAAGACAAAATTCTGCCTCTACACACATAGAAGACACCTATGTTAGTTTATTCTAACTCAACATAAGGGCTCTTCAAAAAAAGCTTCAAACTTTTCAGCCTGAAAAGCAGGAGGGTAGTTTATTTACTTGTGTTCTGATGGTAGATGGCTTTAACTCAACTGGTTTTCCCTGAGTATCAGATACTCTAAAAGCCTTTTCCCAGTACTTTCTGAACTCCTTTTCTAAACTGTCTCATGAACTATGCTGATTTTGTCACCAGATACCATGCAGACAGTTCCCTTGGGCATTATTCTCTGTTGCTACTTTGCCATTCTCCACTTCTTCCCTGAATGAGATCTCGTTATGAGAGTTTTAATAATGTAACAGATAAGGCATAAAAATGTACAGGCCACACAGTTGCCTTAAGGTGTTTAAGGATCTCTTTCCATGAGTGTGGGAAATAAAATCAAAACAATGATGTCCAGAAGGCCCTGACTTAAGGAAAGGGAGTTCTTTATTGTTGCTTTGAAGCTAACACTAGAGTGACCATGTTGCTTTTGAACCACTTGGGAGAAAAATAATTGAATGAAGTAGGGTGTAAATCAATTCAAAATTGAAATGAGAAGTTCAAGTGTTGAATCAATGTGCAGTGGAAAGGAAAGGAAACCAGAGGGTTTTTCTTTTTCTTGGGGGATGTGCGTGTGCATGTGTGTATTTGTGCATGTGTATGTGTGTGCACATAATAAGCCCACAAAGAGGCTATAACACCCATTTAAACCTCCAAGATAACAACTCATGTGAACACATGCACTTATTTTGGGTATATAACCAGAGAACCTGAGAGAGTGAACACACACACACACACACACACACACACACACACACACGATAGGATGGTTGTCATGGGGAAAGAAGACAAAAATGGGTCAAGGGCTGAGTTCCTTTGTATGTACGTGTGGGCCTTTCTGGAACATAACCAGGCAACGTTTGCTTTTCCTCCTCCTCCTCTCTTCCTGTCACTAGTTGCCATGTACCGAGAACCATCTTTGCATGATGTTGGTGAAACGGTCCCGAAAACTGGGGTGACGCCAAGTAAAAGCACAAGCGCGTCGGCAATAATGAATGGAGGCAAACCAGTCAACAAGAGCAAGACCACATAGCCAGATCCTCACAGGTGGTGTGACTCTCATCCCGAGCACAGTTGAGCGATTTATCCTTCCCAGACCTTCCTCTCCCGGGGCTGAGGAGCAGCAGCGGGGAGCGCGCGAATGCTTTCTCTTTGCTGTCCCAGAACTTCTCTGTTGCAAAAGGGTAAATCTCAACCTGTGGCCCCCACACAAGAAGACACCTGGACAACCAGCTAAACTCAGACCATGGAATGCCCTACCAGATATGGAATGCCTTTTTACTATCTTTTCTGTGACTCTGACACTCCATGTGAATGACGTACTTCACAAGTACACTCGATACCTTGCCTGCTGACAGCTCCCATAACCCTTTTTGAGTCCTGTTTCAGCGAAATCCATGTGTTTAAGTTCAATTTTGTAGCACTCCGATAATATTGAGTAATTTCTAGTTAGAAGCTGTAAAACTGTGCTATTATGGATTTCTCTTCTCCCCGTTTTTACAGGGCTGCTTGCTCCACTGTCTGTGACCTTTTGCAGGGATTGTGTTCCTCTAAATCTGAGATGTTGCAGTTGGCTTAGTTTGGAGAGCAATCAGGGAATCAGGAAGCCTTCTACACCTATTGTTCCAAATTCCATCTCTAAAGATTAAGAATGTTGTCTCTGGCTCACATTACCGATTAAACACACATATACGCTCTATCCGGTAGCAGACAAGAGGCTCCCAAAGTTGGATTGGCCAGCTGGGATGAGGGTCAAACACTGTCCATGGAAAGCTCTCTGCGTGTGTGTTTGACATGCCCTCTAGTTTCTGTGTGTGCGTGTGTGTGTGTGTGTGTGTGTGTTTTCTACATATCACAAGCTCACTGGTAATGGTAACATTTGCCTTGCCCAGCGAGCAAGACCCACTGGTTTTTGAGAAAGTGGGTCCAAAGAATTCTGTAGGCCTTGTAGGCCTGATTAAGGTTCATTTCTCATCTATTAATCTTCATTATTGGGAAAAAAGGGGGATCAATCATTACAACCTATAAAGAAGTGCGCTACCTAAATCCATTTCCAATCAACCCCTACCTGTTTTTAATGAACCGAACTAATGCCATCCCTGTTTTGGGCTGCGTTCCACTCATACCCAGCCAAGCATGGGCAAGGCGGCTGTTGAGTTCTTTTCTGCAGCAGCAATGCAAATGTTAGGTATAAATTAGGCTTTAATATTTTTGGTGTTTAATGACAAGTTTTTAAAATGGACATATTAGGAAAAACTATTTTTTTTTAGCTCAGCATGCTGAGTCCGGTACCGTGGACCTCACCAGTACATACCTCTAGCTTGGCCTCCTGGGTCCCTGGTTGCCCCCTAGCTGGGTTAGAGGTGCCTTGCCATGATCTCAGAGCTACCCTAGATAAAAATAAAGGCAAACCAACATACGTAAATATCAGATTTTGGGGCCCTTGGCTTATTTGCTTTTATTTTGCTTTCTTAGTTTTCTTTTTGATTGATCACTGTTAAACTCTGAGCTGAGAGAAGACACGTACCAAGGAGGGCCAGAAATAGTTGACTATCCAGTGAAGAGTCCATGCAAAATGTTCAATATCGGATATAACGAGCTTCACAATGTTTAATACTCAACTGTTTGGAAATATATTTGTTAACTCTGTGTACTCTTAATAAAATTCAATGTTTTCTTCTCAGAAGAGTTAATTGAAACCAACTGAACCTCGTTCACAAAAAACAATCTGTGAGATCAATGTACTGGCCTCTTGTTATTATTTCCAGGTGGAAGGACAACCCGATTGCCATTCCCCCCATCTGCACTGTATTTACTGGGAAATTATTTTGTCATTGCTTTCATAAATCTCCATGGCAGCCCTTTGCCCAGCATTTAAAATTTTTGGCCTGCTTAGCTGATTAAAAGTTCAGTATAAATTTAATGTTCATGCTTACTTCATTTTCATATTGGATTCCACTTTAATAAATAAAAAATTAGCTAACATTTGAGTAGAAGTGTCAATAAAAGTGTTAAACTACACGTACAACAAATACAACTAAGTGATTCTTTTGACCATTCTGGATTTGGGGTTATACCATTTTCAAACCCACCGTTTTAAACAGGGTAAGTTAGAAATGTATTAGGTGAAATTCAGTAACCAACTATTTAGGGAAGACATATATCCCATAATATGTGGCAAACTGAATAATTTGTATTTTCAACTAGATGGGCTTGTAGACACTTCTTACACCACAATACACACACACACACACACACACACACGCACATGACCCCAACTCTATGATTTTGATAATCAGTATACTTGTGATTTATTTATCCTTTGCAAGCCTGTTTATTGGTTAAAATTAAGATAAGATTTATTTTTGTAAATGATTGAGATTTATGTAAATGTGTACCTTTGTTTTGCATTTTTATGGGTGTTCTATAAGGGCATTTATCACTAAGAGCAGATGTCAGAGTACTTCCTCCTGATACATGTTTGGACATACTGCAGAGGATCCTTGTTACTTGTAATTTAGTTAGATCATTTACTCTGTGTCTGGTCTCACCTGTTGCATGGCAAGAGGACAGCACTGATGAACTGCATGTAGTAGGAACCTGTGTATCAAGAACTGTTGGTATGTATCACTCAATTTACATACAGAGTTTGTCTGCATTGTACAGTTTCTGTGTTTACTATCATTTGTTGTATTCACAAATACAACATATGGAATAAAATATTTATATGAAGGCATATGAATAAACATCAAACAACTTTATGTAACAAAATGGCATTGCATCATCGACATATATATAGAAATTGTCATGTAAATAAGTTGGTAAACTGAATCTCCCCCTTTACCATGCCAAAGAAAATTTTAGCTCTTTGATGATACCTCTCTCGCTACTTTTTCAGGATAAGACTTCATCATTTTTTCCTTCATAAATTCAGTTTGCTGTTATTCAGTGCAATCTGTCATTATTGATGTTCTGTATAGTAAATCTTATGGAATTTGTTTGTATTAATAGACCACATGTTTTGTATCTCCACATACATATGTCCATTGTATCAAGACTCTCTAATATCCCATTCTTTCTGCATGCATGTCTGGTATGGGAGAGTTATTCCTACTGATTTGTTGTGATAGCTGATTGCTCTGCCCACCCTCAACAATATTCAGAAATGTTAATTTTTGATATTTTAAGTGACATCATTTTTATAAGTCTACTTTCTGAAATTCGCTACCACCCTACTTGGAAAAATTGTTAGAAGACATGAAGTGGTCCACCTTATGTAAAGACTAGAACAAAACTGAGCATCATTTAATTATGAAACCTGGTGAAGTTAGAGATTCTTGTTCTAAATGTTTGTGTGTTCTTATTGTTTTGGGAAGGGGTGGCTGAGATCCACAGTGGGCCCAAAGGACTCCTGCTCCAGTGCTTCCAATTGTTGACTTCTCAGCAAGTCATAAGAGTTTCTTTGTCATACCTGGCCAGTTGCTTAATTAATACTTAAAGCACTACAACAGTCATTCTATCAAGATGATGGGAACAGATTTAGTTCTTCTAACAAAAAAATGTAAAACAAAAACTTTCTTGTTCTTTAGTTACGCATGTATCACTTCATTTACAGTTTTCTCCCTAATATGTCAGAGATAATTAATGTTGGCTACGAGAGAGAGAGAGAGAGAGAGAGAGAGAGAGAGAGAGAAGAGATCAGATTGTCTAAGATTCCAGTACAAGGTGATGAAAATAATTAAAAATTATTTTCAACTTTATTTTAGGAGAAGGGTATATCCAGGGAAAAAATAATCTAAAGATTTATTTTCCAAAATTCAGGCATATCAAAATCAAGAATGTAAATCATATTACTTTGGAATAAAGTACATTTGATAGCTCAGATTTCCTAGCTTAGGAGGTAACCTGAGGCGCTGGTTGACTCCGGAGTACAGAGTAGAGCTTCAAAGTTTTGATAGTTGAGTCGGCAAAGGAAAGTTTAGTTGTTTATATTTTGGGATTTTCTCTTGTTTTTCATGCAGTCTGTTTCTAACGTCTCCTGGCAGAGTGTTCCCTGTTGAAGTGGTAAGATCACTGCTCCCAATACGCTCTAATCCAGGGTTTGTTCACCTTTTAGAGCTTCCAGTGACAGCAAACAGCCTGCTGCGGCATGCATGCCATAGGTTCTCCACCACTGCTCTCCATTCTAGGTAAGCTCAGGAGCCCAGAAAGGCAGGTACAATGAGTCTTTCCTTTATTTTTAGGACTTCAGTTGGTTTTACATTATAAAAAGTACTGTGGAGGTATATTCATCAGTGAAGGCTTGCCAAACAAGCAGCATCAGTGCCAGCACCATCGGTGAATTTCTTGTCATTTAATCTCATTGCAACTTTTCAAAACCATGAATAAGACCCCCCCACACACACTCATTACAAATCTGTCCCTTTCCTGCCCTTTTAAAGAGTGGAGGCTCTATCTTAGTAATGAAATCAAAAGTCAAAGAACAAAATCACATATAAGAGGGGTTTAAGTTATATGAAAACATATAACTGTTTTCTTTCCATCTAAAACCTGCAAATTCAATCACTTTACAGATGTATTGATGTTGGCATTGTTAGAGTGAAAGTCACACACACAACACACACACACAATACTATAACAGACAGAAAGAAGTGAAAACAAGTTATTTCTGTTTTTATAGAAAAAAAGTATTCTTTAGAGTCTAGATACCATATGACTTATGCTATAGTTCAGGTTTTGCTTCGTAAGTTGTAACTCATTCCTGGGACATGATTAGCTCTACATATGTTCATCATTGTCCAAAAATGCAGACAAATTACATTTTGAACTTCATGGTGTAATAACTTCTCCAACATATAAAATCTTTTTCTTAACATACAGAAATGCTGAGAACATTTTTAAATGAAAATATAAAAAGAAGAATTTTTTGTTGTTGTTGCTATTAATGACAAGGAATAATAAGAGAGAATTATACAAAATAAGACACCCTTGATGTTATGTGAGAGAATTATGAGTAATTATGAGTAATTCAGAGAATTATGGGTAATGCCAGTGGAGCACAGTTTGCCAAACTATACTCAACTCTGAGCCAATCCCAGCCCTCAGTCAGTTTTCATATGGACTGGCTATTTGGATGAACTTCAGTTTACTGTATTTTGGATTTTTAAAAATATTTAATACAAACAATCAAAGAAGAGTATGCTACAAAGATAATGTAACTTACAAGCTCTAAGCTACTTATTATTCAGTTCTTTATAGAAACATGAGCACTGCAATAGGGAAATCTAAAGATCACTTGTATTATGATGCCTATGTCATGTAATGAATCCCAATTCTATACACCATCAAATAAGACATCAAATTTGCTATTGAATAATTACAGTAGGTTGGTTTGACCCTTAAAATGTTTATATAGAAAGGAGGAAACAATGTAATCTACACTTATTTCTCTCATTTTACAAAACTGGTATATCAGTTGATATGCTCAGTAACAGCGATAAAACTAATATGGTCTCATTCCTTAATCTCAGGATGGAGAGAACAATTTTAAAAACTCGATTAAATTATGAGAATATTAATAATATTATACAAATCAGGATCAATTAAACTTCCTCTTAAAATAGTTTTCAGTATTTAATTTTTAAGTAACACAGTGGATGCATATTTTCCTTATTTTTGATGATATAGCTTGTAAATTCCAAGCCATGGTTCTAGAATATTTACATCATAAATATCTTCCCAAGTAAATTTTTTTTATCTTAAAACAATATTTAAATGATTTTGGTACATTATTTTAGGATTTTATGAAATAATTCACACTTAGAAAAAAGTGGGGTTTTTTTAGCTCTAAATAATTAAAGTTTGTCTAAACTAATATGTGTAAGTAGATCTAACTGTATATATGTAAGGGAAGTCCCAGTAATTGTACATTTTCATAATTCAATGTGAGTTTCACACAGAGCAAAGTTTCACCATTAAGAAAATAAACATTTTGTTTCTATCACTGAGTGAATATTTGTAATTTCTAGTTAAGCTATGTCTAGCTTTTGTGGGTCCTTTTCTGAGAATTTGGAATAGGTGCCATTTTATTACACATGCCATTTTTGGCTTCTTCGCATGACCCTATTTTTCCTTAGAAAAGGGACTCTTAAAGGAAATTAACTCATATTTCAGGTTCATCATATTTCTAACTAAATTTTGTCTTTTTAAAAAGCCCGTATCAAATGGTGAAGAATATCTTATTTCTTGCATATGTAATCCCTGCCCAGTTTTTAAAATGTTATATTTTAGTTTAGGAACCTAAAATGAATATCCTTTTTTCATTTTTTGTTGTTACTTTTCAATAGGTAAACATACTGACACAGAGTATAAACAATTTATATCATTTATTTAAACAGTTAAATTGCACATTTTTCATAATTTCTTCCTTTATCTTAAGAGAATCTTCTTTCGTGAGTTAAAAGTGAGATAGACAATGACTCGGTTGCTATATTAACAAGTTTTTTTCCCTTCGGAAGCACTCTGGATCTGCTGACTCCCTGATTCAACAGCCTTCCTCCTGTGTGTTTGCCTCCATTGCCCGCACTTGGACATGCTGAGTGATAAGAAACACTAGGGAAAGCTGATTGATGGGTTTACATGAGAATGGATCTTTTCCTTAGATTCTGCCATGGCCACTCTTGTGTAGTAATGTGGCTTTCTAAAAACTGTGCCATTCAGTCTTCTCAACTTCAGTACCCTGGGCATGTGGAGACAGTATACCTTTTGTTGCAGAGCAGTCTCACACACGGTAGGGCGTTTAGCTCCATCTTGGCCTCTACATATTAGATGCCCGGAGCACACCCTCCTACCCACTCACTGTGACAATCAACACTGTCTACAGACCTTGCTGAATGTCCCCCATGTGGCAAAATTGCCCCCATTAGGAAGCACTGGTGTTAATTATGAGAACAGTTCTTCCTAGTGTTATTTGTATCAGAGTTTTCTGAACTCGTCTTTAATGGGTACCCAGGTTTCATTTAGAAAGTCAGAAATAGAAAAACATACAATAGTCTGTTAAATCTGTCCTAGTGTGGATTATACACGATTTCCTTTGCATTTATATGTTGTAATGGTCTACAAAGATAAGAATCCAATCTTCTCCCATGGAATTGTTAAGGATATTCGGTGCCAAGCCAGATTTCACATGCATTTCCATTCCATCCATCCCAGCATTCACAGTTTCCACAGCTACATATTCCATTCCCTGCAATGAAATACACATGAGAATCATTGTCATGACCAAAATACACCAACTTAAAATATGCTATTATAAACCCTACCTGTTCATAAGGAACATCATTTCAGTCATTATCTCTAGGGTTTTTTATATGATGGCTTTATTATTACATTTTATTAAGCAGCTGGAGAAATCTGATCTTTCAAACAACAAATGGCATCTATTTGGAGCCATAATCTAGAACCATCTTATACTGCTCCAGCTGGGCTGCCATGTCCCAATTCTATTTCCCCTTTAAGAATGAGTTATACCTGACTTACAAATAAATACTGAAAAACCATAAAGCTCTCTGACATAGTATAAGGCAGGCCAGATGGACAGCTAGAAGAGAACCCTTGTGCAAGAGTCACAGACAATGAATGCCTAATTTAATGACATACACATATTCACTTTTAGCTTCAGCTAGAAATGAAAAAAAAAATCTATGACTTAATTTTCCCTGTAACTTGTTTAAGCAAATGTATTTTACAACAAATCATTAGGACTCAACGGGCTAGAATAACACGGATTGTCACAGAGGTAAGCCTTTTTTATATGTTGCCCCCTCCAACGTGTATGCTGTTCCCTGAAAACAACCCACACACTTACTCTAGGCACTTGGATCCTCTTTAAAATAATAGTCCATCTCCTACACCAGGCTAAAAATAAAGTGACTGTCAAGATTTCTTTTCAATATATAAATTCGTATGTGTGCATTTGTAGGGTAGGTTACCTTGGGGAAATTTCCCAACAATCACATAATTGACTTATTTCTGTCTTTGCTTATTCAAAAATGTTTACTTCCTCTCTCATCGTTACTTCCTGTTTACAACTGTCCCTTGATTATATGGAAGCTGTCCTTCCTGATCTCTGAAATCACTGTGCAGTGGGTGTCATTCGGCTCCATTGCCGCTTGTGGCACAGAACAATTAGAGTAGCTCAATACTGCACCTGTGCAAATGAGCCCATCGTGTTTGTCGCAGTCTCTGTCATCACAGTCACAGAATTCCCCGGAAATATACCACTCTTCGGCAGAACAAATGCACTTTCCACAGTGACAAGAACCTGAAATCACAAAGGGCATTGCTCACCGTCACTATGTAACCACCTAGAATAGAATATCGTTGGCACACAGACAATAGGCTTCTAATAACCTATCTTCCAAAGGTAAGAGTTTATTGAATAGCTGGTTTCTCAGAGGGAAGCTTTACTGACTGTAACTCATAAAGGTCATCCAGCAAAGCCTTCATTATGGATTGAGACGGTTGCAATTAGCCTTGAGCAAATGTTCTGCAGCCCAGTCTGGTTGAAATGTCAATGAGAACAGAATGTGGCTGATTCTCATAGATGGTCTCTCAAAAAGGTGTACAAAAATAGATGATTTTTTTGCCCCCCTTTTTTGTTTTTATGAATGAAATCATGTTTTAATAGTGCTTGTTTTTAAAGGAATCCAATAGTATATTCAATTAAACAAAGACATTTTATAATTAAAATAATTATGAATTATTGGACTCATAATTTTGGATTTTTGTTTACATGATTTTTTTGAAGTAGGCACACAGACACGTGTCTATTGAGTGGCTAATTAAATTGCCCTCGTGTACTTACTATGTAGTCAGAGATGCTATGTAGTCAAAGATAGCTCTAATCTTCCACCAACCTAAAGGGTCATACCTGATGAGGCTTTAGGTTCAACCACTTGTCCCACCATGTCACCCATGTTCCCTCATTTTTAACCATCTTCCTAATTTTTAAAATGTACTGCTCGATGATTAAAATACTTATAAGAAATAATTCTACTGATGGTATATTTTAAATCAAAGATAATATATGAGTTAAATGGTGTCACAAAGGAAAGAAAGTTCTCTCAAGTCTAAACAGCTTTCATGACAGGCTAAAAATATCTTCACATGGTAAAACTCCTGTACAGCAAGAAAGACAACTTTAAAATTATAAAGAATTTTCTTCCATTTTCTTGGGTTCGTTGTTCTTTCCAAATGTGATTTCTGCTTACTAAAAGATGGTTATTGCTAAATTTTTCAGCTCAGAAATCACTTTGAGATGACAAAGAGTAGTAAAAGCATTGTGACATGGTTAACACAATTTCAAACTTACGTAAGTTCAAAAAAATTTGGAAGGTGGGGCAGGAATCAATCCTGAGTCCTTCTATTGAAACATAGGGACTTAAAAATGATTGACAACCTGAGTGAGTAAAGTGATTAGGGAAATAAAGTTATACTAAGCACACACATCCCAAAAGCATTCAGCTTAATGTGTGCCAAGCAGTGTCCTGTGTGGCATTTCACAGCATGGAAACTAGTATACACATTTTAGGTGAAAGGACCCCCAGTGCTCAAATTAATCTTGTACCATTCCTTATCACATATTCCAAGGTAAGAAATTAGAAATAGCTGTATTATGAGAACAGTTCTTACACTTATTTTTAATTTCTTGCTTAACAATAACATGATTTCATTGAGTCTTAGCTTATTTTCTTCAGAATCTATGTTGATCTGCAGACTCTTGAGCAAACTGTAGACATCTTTCAGTTCTGATGAGTGATCAACAACCTGGTAGTTAGTTCCTCAGGACCCTGGGAGCTGGTCTTCCAGGTCAGTTTGCAGAGTGCAGTGGCTCTCTCTTGGTCTCTTCCAGATTCAGTGTATTCCTATTTTGAAAATTTAATTATCCTAATTTTAAAGACTTTTTTTCATATTTCTAAGTATGGAGATGTTCAACACTCAACTGCCTGTTTGATAAATGATTAGTGATACATCTGCCAACAAGGAAAACATGGAGCATTACACTGATTACCGAAAAATTTCCTCAAAAGCAACACTATTTAGTGTGTTTTTTTCCATGAATGAAAAAAGGTTATTTGAGGAACTGTACTCTTTTTAATTGCTTCTAAAACAGATATTTCCCTTACATAGAAAAATTCTTTCTAAAACAGAATTAAATGACTTTAGATATCCATGATACTCGTGTATTACAGCTATGATACCTTTTGTAAAGTCACAGTTCATGAATAGATCTCACATATCATCTTTGCATTTATCTTCTGGCCCTGAAGAAATTCTGTTCACTGTCCATGCTTCTGGAATGCTCAGCTTCAGGCTGTAGGAAAGTATTTTTCTAAAACTGGTTAGCTCAGCTAAAGTTCACAAGGATATATTGATAGAGCATTTGATGAGGAAATGTCCAGTTCCAAAGGTCTACTAGTCACAAAATACTTAAAAAAGGAGGGTTGATTTTGTATGTGCCATGAAACAGTAGCTTTTCTCAGTCAGTATTTTCCCAGATGTGTTGTTCTTTCCTGTTTGTCAATGCTCAAAACATCTTAGAGGTAGGAAGTTCTTCTACTGCTTGTATAATTAGGAATAACCTAGCATGTAATAATAACACACTGTGAGTAGTTATTAGGATCTACTATAGCACCTTCTTTAGCTCTGGCTGTTATCATCAATAACCAACAATGGGGTCAACTGTCTCTCTCTGGAAAGTGTCAAATTTAGGGAGAAGATTCTGTCTGACAGGCACAGCTGCCTGCCTACCCAAGGTGAGCAATTGTTCCGCTCTTCTGGCTGGGACCCGCTCGACCAGAGACCCAGACCAGCATAGGTAGCAGCTGGCCCATCTTACCCGGAGCTCTAGGGTGTTAAGTTCTCAATCACAGCACCATTAATCCATTTTTTTCTTTCTCAATATAAGATGCACCCTTAAGAATGTTCCTATCTCTCTCTGTGCTTTTTGCTGGCTTCCATCCTGGGGGAATGAGTCACATTTTCTCATGTATCTTCAGATCATCCTTAGACTTTAAGGAGGGAAAGGAAATCAATTTCTGCCTTCAAAGATGAGAATAGAAGGACAAAGAGGATAAGGGCACTGCCTAGAACCACCGGCAATAAGCATCATTTAACTTCAGATTTCAGTCTGATTTGATCTACCCCCTCGATCTAGCTGTCTGCCTATCTGTGATATCTCTCACAGCAAAAACTTTCGTGTGGTTTCAAAACTGAACTGAGCTGCCACAAGCTTGACGGGAGAGCCTTATAGGGATGGGCAGCTGGAACACCAGGATGAGGCTGGTTTATCCATTCTCTTATTTCTGGGAAGTGGGACAGCCAGCTGGGTGACTGAGAGACAGGTGGGTGCATGGGTGGACTCTGGACCAATTGGATGATGCGGGCCCAACGCTAGCGTGGGGAGGATTCACAGAGACATTCCATGACCTGTGTTTACAGCCACTGTCACACAACAGCATCTGTGAGAACATAAAATGTGGATCTAGGTTTAAGTCATTAAGGTAAAATGTTACTATGTCATCTTGGACCCAAATAAATACATCCCCAGGTAAAGAAATTTTTAAAAATTAACATGAATTATATCACGTATTCTGCAAAGGTAGCTAAACATAGGGGATATCTGGCCACTAAGCTCATCTCTCTTGGTTATTTACAAAAACAATTGGATTCTAAGGGCAAGGCACCTTTGTCAGTTACCCCTTCCCATTACTAACATTGGACTTTCTTTTTCATCCATCAAGCCTGACAAAATGCTGCAACCCGACATCCCAGCAGGCAGTTTTCACTATTGTACTAATGACTCCATCTGTTATGAAGGTCACAACAATGTATCTTGTTTTAAATTTTTCTATGGAGTGATTTATTGTCTTGGCTATAAATTTGTAAAGAAATAAAATGCTATTTCTTCATCGTCTCCTGAGGTAACAGCTTTGTTCACAGTTCATGGCAAGTGCATGGTTAAGACGTGTCGTTTCCATGGAAGTGGGCTGCTGATTGGGTGCTGTGGTGACTGCAGGCTCCCTCCCACACCTGTCCCCAAATCAGAGGAAGAAAGCTGTAGACATCCTTTCTGCTTATCAGGGAGAAGTCTTTCCATTTACAAATTAGAGAAAAATTGTATAGGATCCAGACAAGTCTATGGGATGTATCAGAAATACATAGCTCCAGTCACAGTGAAATACCCCTTTCCTGTCACCATGTTCAAGTCCCTTAGTCTATGCCTGAGATACTTTTGCTATGATTCTCGGGGTTGTGTAGAATGATACTCCCCAAGGAAACCAGGAATAACTGCTCTATCCCTATTATCTCTGTATCTACTGTGGACTGCAGGGCTCAGACCCTCTCTTCATCTATAATCCAGCACTAATATTGCCGTAATCTGAGGAAAGAAAGCAGCCTGCAACTGGTGGCTGTTAACTGCACAGATGCCTGTCACCAACAAGGACGTCAAAGTGTGTGGCCTTAGGGCAGCTTTTACATCTGCTTTTGAATTTAAAGACTACAATCACTCTAGCCATTGAAGGATAAACAAATAGTTTAGACAAATATGCTCTCAACCTTTCATTGCTTTCTGGATATATTTCCACTACCCAAAGCCAACCATTTGGAAAGACATTAAGTAGAAAGATGTTATGGTTTTGAGGAAATGCCTTTAGGTCAACATTTTGTCAACTTACTTTTTAAAATATTTCCTGCATTTAAGAAGCTAAAAAGTGAGAATCTTTTGTGGCCCTCTAATGAATGAAATGAGAATGTTTACTCTTGGAAAAGGAACAATCCCTTTCGTATGACACAGACTGGTATGCCCTACAATGGCAAGTGTAGCCTCATCCTCTACTGTACTTGCAAACTTGGTAGGGGGCGTAGTAAGCACATACGTGCACACAAGTTGACTTTTAAAGCAAATGCATATAAATGAGCTTGCTAATGAATGAGTGTCCTCACTCAGGAGAGCTTCGGTGAGAAGCTTTTCTCCTTATTTCAATGATACTGCCCTTAAAGAAAATCACACATTTAAATTTAACAGCTTTCTATTTGAAGCTATCATCTGAAAAAAATCCTAATTTAGAAAAGTTTATCACTCTCAATATTCTTTCTATGCTGGCCAGTCCTCTGATCTGAGAACACCTCTTCCTCCTGATACTTCTTGCATATGAATTCCATCCCTGCCTACTTTCCTACTTTTCTTCATCAATCTCTCCCTCCTCAATTCCTTTCATTGTGTCTCCCTTTTAACCTCCTCTTCCTCTTTTTTAATTTTCCCAACACAACTTGAACCCAAAACAGGTGTTTCCAGGAGCTGAGGCCCCTGCAAAGAACTATAGGAAGATGTGTTCAAGACTTACAACTTGAGAGAGTTTAATGGAAGAATAAACAGAGGACAGGAGTGACAGAATTCTTTCAAGTCCTACTTGACTGCTGTCACAGCATAAGATTGTAAGCATGGCCCCCCTTCCCAGAACTCTAAACTGGAGTCTGGAACAAAGAATTCCTGGAAACCAAGAACACTGACATATATTGAAACGACAGTGTTTGTGTTCACGTCTTTCCTCCCAGCATGGAGGCAATCACAACATCCATCTGCTTTTATGTCTGAAATTAGGACAAGAGCCTCTTTCAATTTTTGTCCTTATGTGACAAGTAAAGCACTAGCCACCATTTGGGGAACACATTTTCCACGGTGAATCCTACTCTCTGAGACCTCCTTCATGTTCTCTGGTGGTATCTCCATTGCGGTTCCTTAGATGAGGTGGGATCAAAACATAAGGTGAATGTTTAAATTTAAAATTGATTACCCCCTATTTATTAGCCCTTTATGCTTGCTTGGAACAAGTGAGTAATTTTTTTGGTCAAAGAAAATTGTTCTTGAATTATGGGACCCATATACTTTTCTTTCCTCCTTTATGACGCTGAATATTTAGTCTCCTTTTCTGTCTTTCCTACAACTTTCCCCTCTCTTCCTCCACCTACACACCTATGTGATTTAGCCTCAGAAGTTACCAAAATCATATTTTTGCCACTCTCCTGCAGATCTGGGCTGTGCTCCTTCAGAATGAGCTCCACAATGGCCCTTTTGCTTTTTTCTGATTTGGATCCATTTAGAACCCAGTCTATTTTGCTGCCTTTATTCTTCTTACTATTCATTTTCTTTCTTTCAGACACAAGTGGTTGATGGACAAAAGCTCTCTCAGGTATTTCATAATCTTAGATCCCAAAGCTCCTATCGGCAGTGTTCAATCTTCATGTTTGGTACATGCAGATTGTACAGTGGCTTTCTTTCACGCTAGCTTCTGTCTGGAAAAGAGTTACTACTTGCTGTTCTACCAACCATGTGTCAGAACACGAATTCAGTCCAGACTCTGGCACAGATACTCACCCTTTCCCGAGCACAATATGCCATCTGCTGATTCACACAGGCTCTTGCTTTGCTCTTCGGTCATGTTGCATTTCCGCGGATGTTGGCAGAGCTCACCAAACCATCCTTGCTCACAAACACAGCGACCACAAGAACATGTGCCGTGACCTGGGAATCAATTATAGGGTGAGGTGGAGAGAGATGAGTAAATGCCCCACTGAATCAGAGAGGCTGAGGGGTCTCATTTCCTACCAAACCCATTTCGCTTTCATGAATAGTCGATTTGGCCTGTGATTGCTTAAAAGCATGTCACAACAGAGATCTAGCTTAACATGAGAAATTTGAATGTAGCATAGGAGATGGACTCGAGAGAAAGAAACCTAGAAATAATTTAAAATGGAATTATATTATCCTCTTTCAATGCACAATGGCTCCGCATTTACATTTTTATCAGTATGGAGTCTCGGTGCTATTCTTCACTGTGCACACCATGACATCAAGACCAGTTTGCAAAGCTGGTCACGCTACCATTGCTTGCAGCATGTGTTAATTGCTCTCCTGCAGCCTACTCCTGAAAACAAAAGGAATTCAGCATCACTTTATCTCTGTACCTCTGTACTTACTAATAGCAGCTGATAGATATGCAAGCAACAATGTCTGTCTATTAACCAGACTTGGATTCACATTTGACCTTTTGTTTCTCTTTACTATTCCCGGAATTGATTCCTATTTTGTGAAATGTTTAACTTTGGATGTGTATGCAACCTTGCCTTTGGGACAGTTATAGAACAACAAATACTTCTGTTTCCTTGCTCTTCATCCACATTCCATTAGACTGCCTGAATTTCCATTGTAAATCCTTGTTTCTTCTCGTTGCTTTATTCCTTTCTCTGATGGGGGCACTGCCTTATAGCCAGATCTCTCCTGAATCAGTTAAGTGTAAGAAAGATTTCCTGGGTATGTATTACAAATGGAGCATTTTGCTATGCCTCAAGGGATATGAAATAAATCATGGACACTGTGGTTCCTGCCCTTCTCCCAGGATGGGCATCATCCTCATGGAGCTCTTTGGAGCTGTTGACACAGTCTCTCAGACCCATTTACTCTGGTGGGGCCTTCAGGAGCAAACCTTGCCCCATATGCTCACTTTTATGATTAATTTAACACGAACACCCATGAATCCAAGTGTTGTTTTCTATAATATATAAGTATCTGCAAATTAATGAAAGGCAAATGGAAGACAAATTTAAGAGAATTCTGCTAACAGACTTGTTTCAAGCAGCCTCTTCTTATTTATGTAACAATGCATTAAATTTAATCTGATCAGACTCCCTTGAGTCTGGCATTATCCCCCATCTTCCAGTTAGAAAAAATAAGCCCCAAAGAGAATAGTGTTGTTTTGAATCATAGTGTTCAACCACACAGGATCAGAACTTGCCTCAAGTTCCTCTGATTTCCATGCCCTATTTCTTCCTCCATGTTACATTGCCTCTAGATTTCATTGTAGAAGATGATCCACCTTGCAAACTTTTTAGAAGTTCTGTATTTGTCAAATTTGAGGTACAGATTGACATTTATAGGCACTGTTCCCTTCGAAATCTCTACTCAATTGGTTTTCATGACAGTGGACTATCCACACCCTTCCAACACTCCTTCATTCTATTTATTCTTCTGTTTTCTGACCCAATGAATATAATACCTCCCAGTATATATCTTTCATCATCTTCATTTGTCTCAGTATAATTTTTTCCTTGAAAAATTCATCAAATCGGGATTTCTGGTGGTCACAATGACTGCAGGGCTATATCTCTGGCCCTCAGATCTCTCCCAAATTCTACTCCTATGATCCCCTATTTCATGTTCTATTAGCACTCCACTTGACACTTCTCAACCTACATAGATAATTTTCTTTCCAAAAGCTACTCTTCTGTATTTCCCATCTCTTTTTAAAGCACAACTCTGCTTTCAGTCAACCAGTTCAAAATGTTTTGAATAACATTTGAATCTCCCTGATTTCCCTCCTCCAGGACCTTGACAAGTCCGGTTGAAACTCCTCCAGCATCTCCACTTCTGTCACCATCTTACACCTTTGGGAAACCTTCCCACCGTGTCGCTCTCCAATATTCTCATTTAGCACTTCCTACCACACAGCTCCACTCACACCAAAGCCTTGCTCTTGGCTCCTTATGGATCCTAATGCTTATGAGGTGCAGTTTACTTACTTAGCCTCAGGTATGGGTTAGGCTTCTAAAAAATAGTGCCCCAAGCTACCTTTCCCATCTTAACCCTTCTCCCTTCAGCCAAACTGATTAATTCATTGTTCTCTGAACAGTTCACTGTTTTCTGTCCTCAAGCCCTTGCTGAACTAAGAATGTCTTCCCACTCTACAGATTGAGTTCCTGGTTAATTTCCCAAGCTTAGCAAAAGTGATTCAACCTCTATGAGAATTTTTCTAATATCCACAAGGAGAGCTCCTCACTTCTCTGAATCTCTACACTAGTTTGTTTTCCACTTTCTGTGGAACTGTTTCACCTCCTGCCTTGTGAACTGTAGTCATCTGTCAACAGAATCAATCTCTTGACTGAATTCCTGGAGAGGAGGAGTCATGCCGACTCAGCTCTGTGTCTTTATGTGGCCAAACTCACTTCCTTTGACACAATGGATCCCCCAAAGACACTTGTAGTAGACTGAAAGAAAATATCCTTATCTTTCTTCTTCACAAATCCAAGCTTAGAGTCCTACACTGACTCTAGGACACTTGGCTCATGGACTGTCATTATTCAAAGGCAATGAACAGTTCTTGAGGTGCTGTTTTTTACTTTCTGTGGAGCAGAGCCGAGTTAGAGAGTTAGTGCCCTCAAAGGGCAATTTATTCAATGGATAGCTTTTAAATTGATTGTATCTTGACTTCATTAAAACTAAATCTACTTAAAGTGCAGGATTCCTTAACAAGTAAAAAGTTGTCCATCTTTGGAGGTAGAGTCTGAGGTACAAAAACATAAAAGGCAAAAAAGAGGCTCTAGTGTTCAACTCATTGAGCTACAGACTTGTCGGGTACCCTTGTTTCCCACTGGCCTAAGGGTAATAAGAATTGTCATCAATTCTTACTAACTTAATATGAAATTTATATGCAAGGAAATAAAAGGTTGTTTTTCATTTATTAGCTTATTTATCAAAGTTAAGTTGGCAACTAGCCCCAATATCATCAAAATGCATTTGTATTAAATGTTTTGATTTGCCATTATATGACTTCCTTTTACTTAAAATTTAGAAAACAAATTTTCAATAACTCATCATTATACACATTAGTAATTTAGTCATCTATTTAAGAAATATCTGTTGCATACCAGCAGTACATTGGCAGTTTAGGATATAGTAGTGAATAAAGTAGGTACTGGCCTTGGTTCATGGGTCTGAAAGTACACAAGAAGAGAGAACAAGTAACAACAAGCAAATACACTTGAGTCACAGAAGACTTCAAGAGGATCCTCCTGTATTCAACAGCAAGAACACAGCAAAGGGAGGTGGTCATGGAAGGGCTCAGAAACACCCAAGAGATGAGAAAGAGCCCAACAGCCAATGTTCTAGGAACAGTGCCTAGAAAAGCTAATGAAAAGACCTTGGGATGGGGAAAAGCTTGGCATGGTACAGGCAGTGGAGGCCAATGTGTTTGAAGAAAAATGAGCAAAAACATGGGATAAATAATAAAGTGAGAGCAATATTCAGGAATGAGCCACAGAGCATACAGTTTATTCTTGGTAACGAATTTAAATTTATTCTAAGAGGAATGGGAAATGACAGAGGGTATTAAGCAAGAGAATGATGTGATATGATTAACAATTTGCAAATTCATTTCAGCAACCAAGTGGGACTACTATGTGTTGAGAGGATGTGAATCTGGAGAATGTGTGAAGGTTATCACAGTTGTCCAAGTGAAATATGATAGAGGCTCCAAGCAGAGTGGTGGGAGTGGAAACAGAGGATTCCTCGGAGATCTACTTTTGTGGCAGAAGCTATGCCTATGGGATAGGCTGTTGGATTGGATCTGGTAAGTGATAGAAACAAGGAACTGGTTTTCTGGCTAGCAAAACTGTATAAATGATACAATTACCCAATATCGAAGCTTCAGAATACAGAGGCTGAACAAAGAAAATAGGTTTTGTTTGGAACCTCCTGTTTGAAATACTTTTAGGGTAACTAAACTGCTAGGTCAAGTAAGCAGTTGAACAAAAGCCTGGTCCTCAGAGGCTGGAGCTAGGTTGCAGGAAGACACATGTGGGAGTTTACAAAAATGGATGGCATTGAGGGCTTTAGAAATGATTGAGTCTTCCTGGAGACTGGCAAGTACTGGGAACTGTCAAGGTTTGTGAATAGAGTACAAGAAGAGAAGCCAAAAAAATAGGAAAATCCAGTAGGGGAAGAAGTCCATAAGACCTGGTTTTGTCTCATAAGATGATAAAGAAAGCCAGATGTGGCAATGGCTGTAATCCTAACATCTGGGAGGATGAAATGCACGGATCTCAAGTTTGCATCCAGCCTAGGCAACTAAGTGACTCAGCAAAACCTGGTCTCAAAAAAATGAAATAAAATAAAAGGCCAAGGATATAAGGACATGGCTTACTGTGAATGCCCTGGACTCAATATCCAGTACTGTAAAAAATGAGTTGAAAAACAAGATTATAGGAGTAGTTTCAGTCAGCTTCTCCCTGACCAGCACTACTGCATTGCCATTTAGGTATTTGAGTGAATGGTAGAACTGTTGGAGAATTATCCATATATTCCATCCACGGAGAACAGCCTCTCTCTAGTGGTTGAAGCAGAAGTTATGTCATCTTCATATAACACCTTACATGGAAAGGACCTGTAAATCTACCTTGCCTGACTGCCTACATAATCATACAAGTGAGTAATCTCCCTGATGTAGAACACCATCTCTGACGTGCACCCACCTCTGCATCTGGGACCACCAGTTAGATGGCTTTTCTTTTTATTCCCTTCCCTTCCCCACATCAAAACATTCACTAAGAATGCTGTACATCTGCATTGTCACATCTGAATAATAAAATAGCCCCTAGCCACCAGTGACTATTTAAATTTATTAAAGTTAAGTGAAATTTGAAAATCAGCTTGTCCATCTTGTTAGTCACATTTCAAGCGCCCAAACAGAC